TAGAGCTCATTTAAAGCTCGTGTGGTTAACGAGCCGAGTTCGGCTCAAAAAGAGATTTTTTATATAATTTTCTATAGTTCGGTTCGTTAAAACTCGAAATTGACTCGTTACTAATTATAAATGTGCCGCGCTCGATTTCGATTTCAGGCCCGTTTTCCAAGGTGCGGAGCTCAGCTCGGATTGTTAAGGGTTTGAGCTCGAGCTCGCCTCGGCTGACTCGTTTAATTACGCGTTATCCAAGTGGATTTAGGATCATTTGACGTTGATTCAAAAATCGACTTGCTGACCCTTAGTATTTGGAATCTAATTCCATAAAAAAGGTATGTTAACAAGATTTACCGATTTGATTTTGATAGTCACAACAAGAAAGACCATGAAAAAACTTACAATATGAAAGGAGTAAATTATTCTTGACCTAACACTATTGACTCCGTAGAGGCCCATCTATTGAAGTTGGGCTCAGATGGTTTCTATCACTATTGATTTCATAGTTCATAGGGAAATTTTCACCCTTCCCACTAGATAATAAATTATTTTCAGATTTACCTTCATGAAAAAGTATTTTCAACTATATCTAAAACACCTACTTTATTTAAGAGATTGCATCCATTCAGTTTCATGGTAACGTTCTCATTCACAAATGGCATGGCGTGATTTCCGCCATTCTCTCTACCAGAAACACACACAAAAAAAAAAAGAAAATCGTGATCTTCAATTTAAATTCGAATCAGTCCTATTTTTATGGAAAAGATGTGACATTTGAATTGCCACCCTTCTCTTAATCGTCAGAAAAAAACTCAATAACACCGAACATATACTACTGAAACATTCGATTATCGGATTTCTTGCAAACGAATGAGTTCACCGAATATATAATACAGAAAATCGTGCCTTCACGATTCAGATACATCGAGGTATATTTATGTAATTTTTTCAGATATTTGAAACCCACAGATTTGTGAGTTTTTTTTTCTTTTAATTTAACGTTTAATTTCTGGTTTTATGGTGTAACTTCACCGGTACTAATTGTGTGTCGTTTTTGGTTTTTTTTTCGTAGATGGATTCGAGCATGATGATTTTCGTACATCATGGTGGTGAATGGGTCGAGAACGAGTATCTGAATTACAGTCTAACCGGTGTTTTGGTAAAAAAAGATTGCAACTTCAAAGAATTATGTGGCATATTGTGTGATGAGTTCGGTGTGATGTCTCAATCATGTGCCATTGAACTGAAATATAAACTGAAGGAAGGAAGTCCACCAATAATCATAAAAGACGACAAAAGCCTTGGGTTTTACTTTTTCTTGAAGTGCAAAGACGATGACTACACAAAGTTTCCCATTTGCTTGGAGGTGAAGGCTGATAGCATTGCTGGGAATTCGATCGATAAAGAACGGAATACATCTTCTATGAATTATGAGTCAAATGTTGAACCTTTGAGTTATCCGGATCTCGACAGGTACCCTGATCTAGAAGATGACTCGATAAATTTCATGACTTTCGCAAGGAATGTTGCTGCAGATATGGTAGAAGTTGTCGCATATACCGAAAATATACTCAACATAAACCCTGGTACTGGGATTGGGTTGACATTAGAAGAAAATGTTGACTATGGTATTGTTGCTGGTCGCTTACTAAAGGATAAAAAAGAGCTTCAGCAATTGTTGACCATGCATGCTATCAAACACCAGTATCAATTCAAGGTGGAGAAGTCGTGCTCCAAACAATACTGTGTAAGGTGTGTATCGAACGATTGTTCATGGTTTGTGAGATCATCACGCTTGGGTAAGTCAAGCACTTTTAAGATACGGGCTGTCGGGACTGAACACATATGTCCGTTTGATGTTCGAACAAGTAACCAGAGACAAGCTACCTCAACCGTTGTTAACGATTTTATCAAGACGAAATTCACGAACACGAAGTGTGCATATAATCCCCTTGATATAGTTGACGACATGCAAACTCGTTTTGGGATCAACTTGACATACCAAAAAGCGTGGAGCTCAAAACGTAAAGCTGTTGATCTTGTACGTGGAAAGGTTGACCAATCTTACGATTATGTTCATCAGTATCTTTTGAAGGTACATGCATCAAATCCAGGTAGCATTTTTAGGGTGAGCACCACGCCGGAGAAGAATTTCTTGTACGTTTTCATGTCTCTTGGCGCATTTGTAAAAGGAT